AGAAGGTATCCATTATTAAATCTACTTAAGTAAAGTACAGAGTAAAGTACAGATACACGAAAATGTACTTAAGTACTTCCCACCACTGCCACACGGCACAAATCGATTTCTCTCACGAACATCCCGATTCCAGAAGAAAATGGACTCAAGTTAAGCGATAAAAGACATAACAAAAAGGAGAAAGAAAACAAAAACGTTGGACAAAGACTGCGGGAGCAGCCGCTCTATTTGCTGTGCTATGCACTGAACCGGTGTTCTGTCAGATCAGCATACGTTGTCATATAGTCATACGCAGTCATTACCATATGATTTTATTTAATCAGCAACATTGAATCATGACGTAGATCAACATACACTTTGTTATTAACAGCTGTGTGGCATCCTGACTTAGCGGTTAAGTAGGTTAATGAGTTTTACACAGGTGTGTGTTGTAGTTGACTGCAGCTGCAGCTAGACCCTACTTTAAATACACTTTGAAACCACGACAATGCATGTATATTTATCTAGTTATTATGTTATGATATTATAAACAATTGAATTACTTATTTTCGTATAGCAGCATTCGCAACTTGTTGCGTATGCTGCACTGAAACTCCACTAACGGTCGGACTTCTTAATGCGCATGCGCGGGCATGCGTACTAACTGTATGTATGCTATCCTGACAGTTTATGGCTATCTGACAGAACACCGGGCTCTCAGTTGCGCAATGTCAGCTGTTTGGGATTCCTGTTCGTGCTTAGCTACGTCACCGCGCTTTCTGATTGGCTACCTGTCACATTCAACAGGCTTCCTTCTCGCTCCCATTCAGGGAAAAACCCACAGGCTGCAATAAAAGGGCCAAGACAAACCAACATGTTCAATATGCCCGATTTTAGAGCGGAGCGGTCCCGACGTTCAGCACGATCGGTTACGGTTGTCATGTGTCCACTCCCCCCCAAACCCCCTCGGGCCGCAGTAAAATGTCAGTCTTGACCGCGCTCCGCGGTGATAAAAAGGTTGAGGGCCACTGCACTAACAAATTAATACCCATTGACTAAGGCCCAGGACCCATTCTTCTTACTCCTGATTCCAAAAAAGTCTAAAAGAGGCTGCAGCTCAGGGACCGAGTTTTGGGGGACAAATTTTTTTTTGTGTGAAGCCACTATGGCTCTGGATAGTTGTTAAAGACGCCCAGGTTGCTCTGAATTTTTTTTAATTTTTTTATTTAATTTTTTTTTATCTAGGTAGTGTTTTTGTGTCTGCAATACTTTCTCTATGGCATCTTCCTCCATCCTCTATATGTGTGCAAGGTAAAAACAGAAATTATCAAAATCATCTCATAAAGTAATATCCTCAAATCCTAACTTGAGTTTATTTTCTTTTCCCTGAGGCGTTGCCGTGTCCGCATCCAGTCAACTGTTATGTCTCCAGACCCACTGAGAAAAATGTCTTCATTGTGTTCATGTTGGCCGTTTCGGTCGTCTCCTTGGTGCTCAGCGTGCTCGAGCTGCATCACCTGGCATGGAGACACTGCTGCAGGTAGTGTAGTGGATATCTGAGGAAAACAGTCCTTTTGTTGGCCTGCATCTATGTAATGCACTAAAAGGGCGTTCCCTAGCGCAGAGGTTCCCAAACTGTGGGGCGCGCCCCCTGGGGGGTGGGGGGGCCGTCTGGATGAAAAAAAAACAAAAACAAAACAAAACACATGAACGCTGTAGGCGCTGGATTTTTACCTTAGAATTGCCAACTCTGTTATTCCTATGCCAATTTGATACAGTAGAGGCTTCCACACTTCCCATATCTGTGTCGTCTGTCACTTTTATCAGCAGTTAAGACTGTTTAATCCGTTAACATGTCGTAACCTGTTTTTCCGAGCCGCCTTTAAACGCAACATGAGCGCTACGCCGCTCGCGCTGGGTTTCCACCTGTGAAGGAGACCTGCTGCTGCTGTGGAGCTACGTAGGTTTGTGTTAGAATCACGGCAGCAAACCAGCAAAACGCAAAGAACTTTTCACAGTTTTTCCCCCAAATTAACCGACTGAGTTGAGTAAAGCTGCTGGATGCAGGTAATGTTAGCTAAAAGATGACTAGCTAATATCAATACAGAACCTTAAGCTTGTTAACAAGTAGCCTGTAGGCTACTGGTGTTGTCTATGTTCGGCTAAGTACATTTATTTTGCCCCAAGACACATCATTCAACCAGACAGCTATTTGTAATGTATAGGAGGAGCCCAGGAAAAAAAGTTTGGGAACCACTGCCCTAGCGTATCATTTCCTTTAACCTTAGCTTTGCTTGCATGTGCTCTGTGTGTGTGTGTGTGTATATATATATATATATATACAAGCATGCAGATAGCTAAAAGAGACAGAGGAAAACACAGAATAATTTTTTTCTCAACAGGACTTTAGAACTGTGTGATTTGCTCCATGTTCCTGCCTGGTTTTAGTGAGAATGCCAGCAGCAGTGTTTTGGATCAGCTCCTGCTGTTTGAGTGATTTTTTTTAGGCAGACTAGTGAAGACACTGTTCAATAATCAATGTGACTAAAGATAAACACATGGATAAGTTTCTCTAGATCTCGCTGAGACATTAGTCCTTTAATCCTGGAAATGTTCTTCAAGTCATAGACGGCCAACTTTGTAACTGTCTTTGTGTGGCTCTTAAGGTTCAGGTCTGAGTCAATCACTACATCCAGATTTTGGGCCTGATTGCTGGTTGTAGTTGTAACAGGTGAAACTGTGCATTGACTTTAGATCGTTTCTCTTTAGGTCCAAAGATAATAACTTCAGTTTTGTTTCTGTTCAGCTGGAGAAGGTTTTGACACATCCACATTGGATAGAGCCTGGCATGGAGTATACAGGCTGCTTCTGACTGCAAAAACATAGTTTCAGTTCACATTGTTACAGTATCAGTTCGCAAAAAATAACATTTCTACTTTTAACTCTCGACAGCTGCTTTGAAGACTATTCAAGTTCATGTAGCACCTCAAGATAGTTTAGGTTAAATCATAGACTTATACTTTGTTGGTTCGTGTTTGTTGTCAACAGGAAATCTAAACAGGAAGGAGTTTCATTTGAAACTAACGCTTTTAAAATTTCTACTGCAGGAAGTTTTTTTTCTCCTCAAAGAGTGTCACATCTGCTAACACCTCCATGGTCCGACAGATCTCCATGTCTCCACCTCGACCGTCAACCCCTCCTCCTGATTTCAATCAGTGTGTGACTGGCTCCTCGCACTTCCTCTCGCTCCCCTTCCCTAACAACGGACTGGCCTCTCAGCAAAACTCTGAGAACATGGTGACGGAGAAGAACAAGAGGGCCGCTGCGGTCGAGGAGGCAAACTTTCTCCACATGAATTACTACTCAACCAAATGGGAGAACGGCGGAGATGGCCAGATTCAAGATGGAGTGTACCTGAGTTCTGACAGTAACAGCTACAGTCCTGAGAGCAAAGACATGATGTGCCTCCAGATCCAGAGCAATGGCCCAGATGCGCTACTGCTGAAGGACAAGAGAAGATTCAGCAAAACAAGTGGAACAAGCAGCCGAACAAGAGTGGGTGATCTCTCAGTTTAGAAATCAAACCACATACAGACTCCAGCTACAATATACTTCCTACAGGTTTCATAACTCTTGACTTTTTGTACATTGGCTGTGATTCCATTGACTATGCAATTGAGGATGTTGGATTAGGAAAATAAATGCTTACTGGAAACATGGCAATTTCAAAAAACTTTAGCTTTTTCATAAAACATCTCTGCTCTAGGATGACATGGTTTTTCAGTTGTATCAAAATGTATCCGTTTCCCTAAACTATAATGGTAATTCTATCTGTGGATCATATAAGTTGCGTGATCAACAACCGGATGTTAGTACTGTCAGAAAAGACAAAGACGATGACGACAGGAAGTGGTAGGAGGATGAAGGCGCAGGGTTTTTTTTTATTATTATTGCATAAACAAACTTATTCACATGTTGCGCTTCCTATTTAATTGAAACACAGCAATTGCGAAATGCCACTACTACAGTTAACTACAGTGATGATGTGTTCAAGTTGATGTACAATTTATGTGAATGTGACAGAGCTGCTGGATTTGATGTGAATCTTTGATAACTGTCCTGGTCACTGATTCACTGAAATAACTATCTTCAGACAGTACCTGCGTTACCATGGTAAATGTGTGCAAATCTTTGTCTATTCTGCTAATGTACAGAAAAAAGCACAATTTTGCAATTTCAGTGTTTCCATTAAATAAGAAATGAAATGAAAATCACATTAAGTTTTTTCACACAATAAGTCATTAAAAATCATAGCAGCAATGGATGGAAACAATTACATGATATGTTCATGTTTCAAACATGGCTCTAGTGCTGGTGTCAGCCATCACAGAAGACATAGGTGTTTTATTCAAGCATTGGGCCAACAAGTTCCTTCAATTCAACACTTTGGAATGACACGATTTTGTGATGCTGTGAGAGCTCTGGTGGAGCCAGCTGCTCATTGTCTGTAAAATAAAATTCAAACCATCATTCTCCTACCACTTCCTGTTGTCTTCTTCGTCATTTTCGCCAGTAGTAACATCCAGCTGTTGATCAATCAAGTCGTGATTTGAAAAAAGTGCTTTTTCATTGCTGTTTCAGAAAGCACACATATTTCAAGAGAGCCAACAAACCACTTCATTCTAGCGTAAATCTTTTATCAAAAAACAAGAGATTTTGAAAAATCGGCATATTTCCACTAAGCCAATGTATTTTTGTATTTTCAGTTTCTGTAGTTTTTTTTTAGATTAGGTGCTGCAAAGGTATTAGTAGCTCCCTTACCTGTAGCACAAAACGTAATATAATCATGAAATTATTGGTCACATAAACGCATTGTTAGTGTGGGGGAAGCTAACAGCTAGCCACACATGTACCATCTGTTACACTTGGTGCCGTTTTCTTTTTAGATTTTGAAATAGTACTAATAGTGTTATTTGTTACTGCAGATCACTTGGAAATCATCAGTGTGTTTTAGCTATGTTGAGAATGGAGTAAATCATTAGATTTTGTATCAGTTGTACTACAGCTGGGTAAAAAAACAACCAAAAAACCCCTCTGCTCTATGCTTCACTTCGTTCAGAGGGTTTGGTCCCTCAGCTGTTGAGAAACGGTTGCTTGTTGGAGGCGTGAAAATTTTAATGGGGTAATCTGATTTTACCCCATCACTAATGCTTGGTACTGATGCATTACGTATGTAATGCATCGATTCAAAATTGCTCACCAGGAATTGCGTGTGATGCAAACAACCGTCCCTCTTTGCAAAGAGAGAAGTGCCAAGCTGAATCTTTGCAAGCAATAAAAAATCTTAAATATTCAATTTGTTCCAACTACTTGGAAATGCAGCCAACGCAAAGTTAATGACTGTTCAATTAGATGCAAGGTCAGCTGGTGTAAGTCCACACAGAAACATGTTTTGTCCATATTCAAGTTTGGTACTGGACAAAGCAGTACCAAACTTAACAATGGTCTGTTGTGAAGTTGTAAAGTGTTAATATCAGCTAGTATATTGTTGCATCATGCTGTGAACACGTTTATTTTGAGTCCATTTAAGTTTTAATTTAAAAGTCATCTAAAACAGGCGGTGTTTGTTCGATTAGCAGTTAGCTTCCACCACTCAGAGCATTTATTTACTTCCAACATGCTCGCAGTGTTGTTACATCTTTTGACCAGATGTAAGGGAATATTACTGATAATAACCGTTTAAACATTATAGACTGTACCTGAGCCAGTTGGTTTTGTGACAATGTAGAGACCTAAAAAATTATATAGAGTCCAAGAGCTCCATTTATTTTCCTTGGTTCTGTGGAAGAAGGCAGATGTTAGCTTCTGCAGTAGCGCTAAATTATTATTTTTTTTTAATGAAATTTTATTCGAACATGATACAAATACAAATATAAAAATAAAATAGTGCCCAGTAACAAGAAGTGCATAAAAAAGAAGAGAAAATACAGATTTTTTGTTTCAGTTAACATATCATGCTCAAAATGGGGTAGGAAGAAGTGAGAACTTATAAACTCCTACCCCCTAAACACTTGAAACTTTAGAGTCCTACTGTCATTAAAAAAATCAAAGTGGCAGTCAGAAGTAACAGTTACTAATATTTACCTATACATTTTCCCATTTTATGCTGGTTTGTCTTTCTAAACCCTTACACCAAGTTGTTATCTGCAATACACCTTATTGTTTTCTGTCACCTGTATGTGTAGTTTCCATTGTGAGTATGAAGATATATTTGGCATTTAAAATATTAAAATAGGCAGTTCTAAGTGTTTTTATGGAGTTTGTGAAATGTTTGAGCATTGTTTGCACTATTGTTTCCTTATTTTTGGCACATCAGTTAACAACTCTTATATATCTTATATAATTTTTAAACCATCTGTCAGAGTCAGTTCTGCCAAATGTTTTATTTAACATCCTTATTGGAAATATTCTCAAATAAAAATATACTCTCATGCTGTTTATCTGATATCAGTCCTTTTGCAGGATCTTTACTTGTACATATTTATGTGGAATGATGAGACACAAATGAATGTAACTTTACTACTTATGTTCAATTGAAGCCTCTTAGACTTTTCTTGTTCGCTGAAGAAGAAAACAGAACCTGAGTATCAGACAGACAACCAGACAGTAAACTGTGAGAATGAAATTTGAAGAAGTGTATTCTGGGGTTAAAAAAATCTTCCCAAGCTGGTTCCCATGACCAGCGTCCAGAACAGGAATGTGGCTGATGGGAGAAATTCTACTAAGCTCGTCTTAATTTAGCAAAGGTTTGGGAACGATAAAAATGTTGGTTCTCTTTTTCTTTCTGTTTGAGTGTTTTCACTGTTATGGATGAAAACATTTTTCTATGTATTTCAACTAAAAAAATATTTTACCTTTTTTAACCAGGTTGAGTTTTAAAAGGACATTTTTCAAGAAAGACCTGACCGAGAGGCAGCAAAGGTTATACAACCATTACAAGTAACTACACAATTAAATACAAATAAAACTGTTACAATTTAAGAAAGTCTTTAAAAAAGTCATCCCTGGTGCTCTCAGTCTGGACTTAAAGTATTTAATGAATCAGTTAAGTTCATGTTGAGTCTTTTTGCATCATGTTCCAGACGGAGCACAATAGACAAAGGCCCCTTTCCCCAGTCCTATGCAGGGAAATAGTACATGATTGGATGAAATAATAAAAATATCTGTAGAGGAATTAAATTAGAAATATAAAAAAATGTTTGACTTTATATTCAAAGCAAGAAAAGGATAAAATCAGCATTCAAGTTGAATTTCCTTGCCAGATTCAATTTACTACATTTCAGTTGATTCAGTCGTCCTAATGTTTTTATTTATTATTATGGTAATAAATAAAAACTACTTCAAGCAACTTTTTTTAACAGCGCTCTCAAGTGGTGTTTTTGTAATAATGACTTGGCTCTCCTTAGACTTCAGGGATAACCACAACGAACACATAGAACTATAAAGTGTTTAGTAACAGAAAGTACAAATGAGAATTTAACTATTATTCATCAAGAAAAATCAAATTAATAGAATGAGGCGAATCAGAACCTGGGAGAAGATTTAGACTTGGTTCTATATTTTGACAACCCAGTAAAATCAGTTACAAAATTATCTTAAAGACATTTCCAAAAGCTATTAAATCAAAAGTTATCCCAGAAAAACTGGTGCAAGCCTTTATTTTTAGTGGGTTGCAGTAGATATTTACAGATCAATAAGGCAGCTGCAGCTCATCCACAGTACTGCTGCCAGAGTCCTGATCAACACCAACAAACTGATCACATTCCACCACTGCTCTAATTCCTTGTTTATTAAGGAATAGGTTCTGAAGTTCTGCTATTAGTCTATAAATTATGGAATAGTCTTTGGCCGGAATACATGTTTGTATTGCTTGTCAGGTATGAACCATATACCTGACAAGCATAGTTCTGGTCTTCATAGACCAGAACTAGAGGACAGACTGGATGCCCCACAATTCCCTGAAAACCTAAAATATGCATTAAGTGTTGGCTCCTTTAAATCAGGAATGAAAACATTTGTTTACATCAGCTTTTGATAAAAGAATCTGATAATTGAATGATTTAAAACATTTCTTTTTATATGCCTTCAGTAGCTGTTTCAATAATAAATGTGCCTGAAATGTTATCGACATTCCACTAATGTAAAAAAAAAACAACACAATTTCGTAATTGCAGTGTTTCTATTAAATAAGAAATGTAATTAAAATCACACATGAATAAATTTGTTCAAGCAATAAGTCGTTATAAAACATGTCGGACCATCAGCCTCCTATCACTTCATGTCGTCTTCGTCTTTTGCACCTGTAGTTACATCCGGTTGTTTTTTTTTTTGTTTTTTTTTCTATTAATTTATTCCAAACAGGTTTTTAAAAACAAGAAAACAAGCAATCAGTGGGATAGAGAAATCTGTCATGATATGCAGTTGGATGAGGTGAGGCAGACGCAGCAGACCCAGCTTTTGAAATGATGATTTTAATGTTAGTCCAGAAATATGAGGTCCAAACCAGGCAGCACAGAGACAGTGGAAGGCTAAGGCTCAACAACTGGAACCACTATGGATAATGCAACTAGACAAGACGTAAGCCCAGACAAGGACACAACAAGGAACACAGGTGGGTTTAAATACACAGGGAGACAATCAGGAGAAACAAGGGACAGCTGGGGACAATCCAGGGGTAGACGGGACAACACAGAGACTCAACAGGACACAGAAACCT